CTTAGTGAAGGCAGCTGTTGTCTTGAGTTTGGAAAGGAGAGTGTTGTGGCGGGGAGGAAGGGCAGGAGCAGTTGTCCCCGCCCTCTTCTGATGTGCCTTCCCGTCCACAGGGATTCCCACCCACCACCCCAGGGTCTACAACATCCACAGTCGAAATGTCACCCGCTACCCTGCCAATTCCATCGTTGTCGTTGGCGGCTGCCCAGTCTGCAGGTATGTCACAGGTCTGGGGCTGGCCCCCAGAAGCCTCGGGACACACATAGCCAGAACCTCAGAAAGGCAGGCTGGTTGAGGTGGGTCGGTCTGGATTTGGGACAAGCTGTGGTGGGCAAGCATGGGGCTCAGTTATCCTGGGTGGAACCTGTTTCGTAGGGCAACTGGGGGTGGGTTCTGTTTCTTTGGAGAGTTGAGCCCTAAGTGAATGGGATGCAGAAATATTAACAGTTGGACTGACAGTCTCACATCCCTGGGTTCTCCTGACGGGGGGGGAAGACTTCTTTTTCAGGGAAGGGGCTGTTTTGAAGAAGTGGTGGGCAGTGGGGTCCCTGACTCATGATGGTCCATGTGTTCAGGAAGCTGGAGGGTCCTAGAAAGCAAGAGAAGCTACAGCTGTGAGCCGGTTAGTGGAAACCCATGGTTCTCCCAGCAGGAGCAATTTTTCGTATCCTTGAACTGGAGCCTCCACAAGTCTTCTAATGACTGTTTGTTTATGTGGCCCCAGATGCTTGTTCTGTGTGGGTCCTCAGGATTCAAATTCAGATCAAGACTTGGTCCCTGCCCTTGGTGGATTCAAGTGCTTGGACAGTTTAGAAAACACGGACTTGGCACGGACCATTTTTCCTGTCTGGGAGGAGGAAGTTCAAATTTCTGAGATGGGATTGAGAAACCCTGGTTTACACTTACACTTAATTTCAAAAGTGCATCTAGAAGGCCCAGAGTGGAGTCAAAGGGAAGTTAATGAGTTCAGAGTCACAGGGGACAGCTAGGGCTCAGGAAGAGGGAGGGCATGAGAGAGATGGGGGCCAAAGACTGGCCGACCAGAGCCAACCATGTGCCTAAAAAGGAGGCTGTGGGCAGGGGAGAGCCACTGGAGCTGTGTGCCAGGATACCCCATTTGCAAACCCCGAAAGGATGTCTCTTCTGACACAGCTGGTGAAAGTTAGGCCTTTGGAGAATGTGAAGGGGGAAGGAGAGGAGGGCAGACAAGGGCCTCCTCCTGAGGGCCCCTCTCTCCGTGCGGCACTCTAGGGGGCGTCAGAGCTGTTGGGGTTTGTGGGGTGTCAGGCTGGCAAATTCAAGGAGGATCAGGAAGGCGCCTGCAGCAGAGGAATCTGGCTGGGATTTCAGTGTCTCCCTGCCATGTCTGCCACTTCCTAGGAGCGCCCAGCCTGCCAAAGGAGCTGGGTTCAGATCCTGGCCCTGGCAGCTACCCCCTGGGCCTATTTCCCCATCTGCAAAGTGGGGATATCTAATGGGATGGTCTGTGAGGCTCTTGTAGGCCCAAGTCCCTGAGTTCAGAGGAGTGGACACCAGCACCAAGGCCCCTGTGGCCAGTGGAGGCTGGGAGCCAAGGCTGAGATGTCTCCAGGGCTGTGAAGCTTCCGGCCACTGGCTGGGCTGCTGCCAGGTAGGGAGCATTTCCCAATACCCACCTTTCCCTAGAGTGGGAGCTGTGTCATTTCGGAGGCCTGTGGCTTCTGCCCCATGGCCCCCCGTCATTCGGAATCTGGACTAAGGTTGGGCTGTGTTCTCTGCTCTCTTGGGAGAGTCTTCCATGGGGCTGAGGGCAGGGGCGCCTGCATTTGGAGCCAGGCTTCTTCCTTGCGATCACTGTCTTCCCGCCTCTGGGTGTGGGTGGCAGGCGGTGAGGAGGAATGGGTGCTCTGAGAACAAGTTTGGGGGATCGAGTTGGGACCAAACACTGAATCCCCCCAAGGCATGTCCTCCTGTGGGCCCTCCCGTCTGTGGGGTGAGAAGAACAGATGCCAGCAGTAAGGGTTCTTCCCTGAACTTGGGTGTCCCTGCCCTTCCTGCTAGAGAGGGGGAGGCCCCTTAGTCCTCTGCCTTTGCAGTGGTGTGTGGTGTGGGCGTGGCTGGCCAATGGATTGAGGCTGGGCAAGAGAGCTGGGCAGCACTAAGGAGGGAGAGGCCCGGGCACTTTGTGGGGAAGCGCCACTGTGGTTTGGGGGGTGGGTGTAGGGGCCCTGGGGCGGGTCCTCTCTGGGGAGAGGAGAGGTTTCCCCTGGGCGCAGTCCAGTGCAGCCACTGTGTGTCTGGAGTCATGGGGTTGGGAGACAGGCCACTTCTCAGTGACCGCACTGCTGCCTCCCTTTCCATCCAGCCCGCCAAGCTCCGTCCCTGTCCCTCCCTGGCAGCTTGGCAGGAATTCGCTGAAGTCACACGGCTGCGATTCCCTCTGAGTGAGGTCTGGTGTAAGAGGTCTGTCACTTGTCATTTTGTCATCGTCCAGCCTTCCCTTAAGCAGCCTGACTCCACCCTCCCTTTTCAGCCGACTGCATGAGTATTTTTTTTGACTTCAGCACATACTCCTCATTTCACCCCTGCTGTGGCCTCTGAACTAGTCTTCCCGTGGGGATACAGCTGCCCCTAGATGCAGGACGAGGCGGCAGCATGTGGTCTGGGATCTGGGCCTGGCTGAGTTCACCTTGGCTGTGGTGGGGGAGCCTGTTGAGAAGGCCCTGAGCAGCAGGGGTCAAAGCCTGGAATGGGACGCAAGCGGTAGGCACAAGCAGTCGGCGCAGGGCCTGGCTGGCACTGGGCCCCCCACCGACACTGGATAGGTATCATTGGGTATTTAGCTTTGAGGGTGCCCAGAGGGGTAGGAGGAAATCCAGGAACAAGTGGGGTCATGGAAGCCAAGACAGGCTCAAGGAATAGTGTCAGTCCAGGATGTGGCATGGGTGGTCAGCATGGGCACTACTGGTGACCCTGGGAGAGTTCTGGGAGGTAGAGGCAGGGCTTGAGTGTGTGACACGGCACGGGGTGACAAGGTGGAGTGTGGGCAGCTCATGAGAGGAGGGGGCCTGTGACAGAACCTTGAGGAGGTGACTGTGCCTGGACATCCTCGGGTTGGGGGTTGGGGATGGTGGAAGACTCCCAGGCCCCTGTTCTGGCCTACACTTTGCTCAGAGGCCTGGTCATCAGGCTTGTGCACAACTGCCCTGGAGTGGCCGGTAGCTCTGCCCCTGAGAGGCAGATGTGCCTCCTACTGCTGAGCGTAGAGATGGGACCTGGTCTCTGAAGGGAGCTGACTGGGTGCTTTGGGGCATCTGCCCCCTACCCCCCAGGCTCCAGGCCTTGGATGACCTGGAGGAAGTCCTCCCTGAGGCTGTCCTGTGAGGGCTGGTTGGGGGTTGCTCCCAGGGCTGGATGCTCTCTTGAGCTACCCTGTGCTATGCAGTCAGTGAGGGGGGATGAGGAGGAAGGGCTGCCGGAGTCGGGGCACTAACTGCCCAGGGCACAGAAGTGGGGAGGCCCTGGATGGTGGAGCTGGTTTGGTGCCAGAGCTCCGAGTGGTCCGAGTCCCGAAGGCCACCTCTGCTGCCCTGGAAGTGGCTTGATTGTTGGCCATGACTGTGGACAGAGCAGGTGTGTTCCCAGCCTGGAGCAGCCTATACATCCACCTACGTTAGGGAAACAGCTGGTGGCCCAGGGCCTTCCTGAAGCCCCCACTCCCTACTTTGGCAGCAGGGCCTCAGGTGCTCTTCAGCTGGACCTTACGCCACCTGTCCTGACCTGCTCTGAGAGGGCCCTGAACAGCCCCGGGGAGGGCTGAGGACTGACCTTTGTAGTAGAGAATGCAAGAAGTGGTGCCTGCCACACACATTCCGGCCTGCTGGTCGCTGTCCCTTAGACCTGGCCTTGCCTGTGCTCTAGTCCAGCTGGTCAGCACACACAGAAAGGGTGGCACCCATGAGTCTGGGAAACTGAGTGAAACGAAGATAAATGGGTCTCTTTCCTGTGGGAATTCTCAGATCCTTTACTAAACTAATGCACGTTGTGACTCCAGGTGGGGAAAATGGGCAGTTTGACCAAACACGCCACCCCCCCCCCCCCTTCCTTTTCTGTAGAGCTTACAGGGGAACTAGTGTTTCAGGATGAGTGCATTTGGGAAATACTTCTAGAATGTATTGTGTCCCTTGTAGATGTTTTAGGCCCTTCCCTCCTGAGTGGGTGGGAGGGAGGAAGGGGGACATTGAGTGTGACTTTTTCTTTAAGCTGTTGAAAACCAGACTTCCTCTTAGTCTGGTATATTTTTTCATGACTCCTAATGGAGCAGGGAGCCTGCTCTGCTGGGCTGGTGGGGGCGGGGGGTGCTGCTGCATGGTCCTCCTGCAGCTGTGATGGGTAGCAGCCGTCACATGGGCTCGTGACTTCCTGAGAAGGGGCTGCAGCAGTAGCAGCAGCTCTGGCATTTTGAGGAGGAAGCCCTCTGTTTTGGCGCATTTCGCTTTGACACTTCTTTACTCTTTTATTAAGCTGAACCTCCCTCCTCCTTCATGCAAAAGGTGGCAAAATAAGGAGCGGAATGTTGTGGGCATAGGGATCCTCAGCAATATTTGCTGACGATGGGGCTAGAAGTGGATAGACAGTGGCTTCAGAAAGACCAAGGAAGCTGGGATGGACATGCAGCGGCATGGGAGAATGGGTACAAAGGTATCAAAGCAGTGGGAGGAGGGTCAGGCCCTCCCCGCCCGCAGTTGCCCTCAGCTCACAGTAAGGTGGTCAGGGCTGCAGGCACCCTGGCCTCCAGGGAGCAGCTGGTCCCTGTTGGCTTTCTCTGGCTCCCAGGTCTGTCTGGTGGGAGTGAAACATTTCTCATTTGGGCTGAGCTGGCTATTGTAGTTCTCATTTTAATTTCAACTGTGTCCAGAACTTTCCAGAAGTAGCCTAAGGACTAAAGGTGGAGCTGAACACACAGCTCTTGCTTCCCACTTTGGGGGCCTTTGAAAAGGACCCTTCAGTCTGGGTGGTGAGTCCAGGTCTCTGACCTGGACTCACTGGCACCTGATCTCGGTGATGTCCCAGGTGTCTTAGGTATTATAGATTGTGCACTAAAAGGTAAATGTGACTTTTTTCCCCCTGAAGCTTTGAAATTTCTCAAGTGACCTTTCAGACATTGTGTGAACATGGCTGATTTCAGTCTTTCACCGAAAATCTGCTGCCTGTCCTCCCCCCCGAAAATAGAAAAATCAAACAAAATTCTGAACTCTGTCCCTATTTGTGGCATTTCCCTCTAGGGCAGCGGTTCTCAACCTGTGGGTCGAGACCCCTTTGGGGGTCAAACGACCCTTTCACAGGGGTCGCCTAAGACCATCGGAAAACACATATAATTACATATTTACTTTGTGATTAATCACTATGCTTTAATTATGTTCAATTTGTAACAATGAAAATGGGGGTCACCGCAACATGAGGAACTATATTAAAGGGTCACGGCATTAGGAAGGTTGAGAACCACTGCTCTAGGGAATAGAAAAACTTCAATACTGGGAAAAAGCACTCAAATGATTGGGTTTTCTTGGTCTTGTGTTTTCAGAGATGTAAGAAATTTTATAGAAACTAGCATTTGTTTCTTGTTCTTCTGTAAAAGGAAATATGGCAGATTACATGGCAACTGAACGTTGCCTTTATAAGTAAGCGATGATAGCTTTCAAGTAATTTCCCTTCTTCACATGGTCTGGGTAGTGGCTGAGAGCAGCAGTTTGCCTTCCCTCCGAACATGGCAGACGTGTTGGCGGATCTCCAGGCTGATATGGCTGGTTGCTGAAGGCAGGCCTTTGCAGACCCTGTCACTGACACGCCAAAGGTCTGGTGGAACATCAGGCCGAGGGCCCTAACTCGAGCCCCCCTCCCCCCTTATCTCTCTCCACAGAGTCGGGGTTCTGGAGGACTCCTTCACCTTCCTGGGCATCTTATTGGCCATCGTCTTTTTCCCCTTTGGGTTCATCTGCTGTTTTGCCTTGAGGAAGCGAAGATGTCCCAACTGTGGAGCAAACTTTACCTAAAGGGAACAGCACACCGGGCTTTCCTTCATCCAGCTGTCTTTTTCTAATGTATATGTCGTGTACAGTAGCTTTATTTGATTAAGCTTCAGGACTGTTTTGTAAGGGAGGTGGGATAGATTGGGCATGTGCGAGCTGGGTTCAGGGCACAGGTCACGGAGTGTGGACACGCGACAACACTGCTCCCAGGGTTAACGACAATTCAGAAAAGCACTTTTATTTTTTGCAGTCTTCAATTTGAGAAGGTGAGAAATTGTTTTAAATAAATGAGATTCATACCATTGTTTACCTGGTTCTGCTTATTCAGTGTTTGCTTTTGTTTGGAAAACTTCAAACATGAAATAGAGACTAGAATTATGTAGCCACCACCCAGCTTCAGCACTGTTCAATCCTGTTATTTTTCTTGATAGGCATTTACAGCTCAAGAAAATGTTCTTGTTTTCACGTTTTTATTTTATAATGAAACAGAATACCTTGACATTTCCAGAGCATGCCCCTCAGTGCCGAGGACAAGGCAAGCCCTCCCATCCTGTGTGAGGCAGGTGACACTGTTGTCCACTCTATGAAGGTGGATACGGGCCGGGTGAGTCCAGCAGGCCTGCAAATTGCACCTGGTAACCCCAGGCCTATGTATCGCTGAAACAAAGCCAGAGGACCCCAGAGTGGAGGGTGATGTCCCCACTCCTTCTCACATCTCTAAAAATAATGGGCTTCTGTGGACCCTACTCTTACCTAAGTGGTGAGAGGAGAGTGGGCCACTTCACTGACTGGTTTCTTGGCTGGCGCGTCTTCTTTCAGGACAGGTGCTGCTTGACACCTGCACTTCGCCTGACTCAGTCCTGGGGAGCCCTCACGTTCCCGTGTCATTAGCTCCCCACTGGCTGACCGAGGAGGAGGAGGAGGATAGGACTATGAACCTGAAGTGTCACGCACTCACACTGGTTTTACCTGCAGTTGACTTTGGCCAATTTCAAGCTTATAGAAAAACGATAATATTTATGGTAAGATCAAAGGAGCTGTATGAGCAACAAGCCCCCCTTCCCTGCCCACACAGTGAATGGCCTGGGTGTGACATTTAACCACGATTCTCCACTCCTCCAACATAGGGCCTAATCCCTGACAGCCAGCGACGAACTCCCTCCCGGAGCAGCCCAGATTCCTAGCGCATGACAGTGGGTCTCAGCTAGAGGGCAGCTCCTCCCAGCCCCCACTCCCAGAGGTCCTCCTGGCTGTGAGCACTGTTTGTGCGTCAGTACCTGATGGGAAAGTGTCAGAGGAAATTAGTGACAGAAGCGCTTTGGTCAACTAGCTTATTAGCAAGAGTCCCCTGGTTGGTGCATGTGGTCCCCTCTGGCCAGGCCCACATGCAGCCTGGCCTGGTGGGTTTTCATTGGTGCCTCAGAGCCCAAATCCAGAAGTTCTGGGGCATTCAAGTACTAAGTACCATGGCTGTGATGGGGACAGGCAAAACACCTCAGCACTCTACAGCTGGGCCTAATCACGGGAAGGTTGGGGTTTCTCCATCTTGGGTAGCTCTGCATTTGACTAAACAAAAATTTAAAAATGTTAAAAGTTAAAATTTATATAATATTTTCATAATTTATATTGCTTAAGATTCTCCTTTGAGTAAACATTACAATGCTACGTAAGAGCAGGTACTTTATAAAATACAAATGTGGTCTCAGCTGCATGCAGGTACAGAAAGCCAGTCCTGAAAGCACAGACTATCCCTTATTCTGGCTATTTCAAAAATAATCATAGAATATTTAAAAAACGATACAGTAAGGATTAGAACCAAATTTACTGCTCTTTGAACAAAACAGGAAGAAAATACTTTCAGTGATTGAGTTGGTCACTCAACTAATTTATCTTCTTTAAGACAGAAATGTGCAAACCCAACTGTGAAATTGAGAAAATGCATTGATTTGCTAAAGTAGAATACGTTTAAAATCAGGCACCCTCCGGTGAAGCATCATGACAGTACAGGATGCACCACACCTATGACTTCACATGTGAGAACGTGAAGATCCAGGAGAAGTCTTTGGCCATCTTTTCATCGAATGATTGGTGCTGACCGATCGTTTGTCACTGTTGGTCGGAGTTTCACAGTAGCGAAGGGGTTTTCTCCACTGTGGGGGAAGGAAAAAAAGTGCAGAAATACCTCAAGATGGGAATTTTATTTTTTTGGTTAATGCTCACCTGATGATCCCCCCCCCCAATTGATTTTTAGAGAGAGTGGGAGGGAGAAAAGTATCGATATGAGAGAGACACATTGATTAGTTGCCTCTGCACACACCCCCGAACAGGCCAGGATTGAGCCTGCAACCCAGGTATGTGCCCTTAACCAGAAATTGAACCCGAGACCCTTCAGTGCAGCGGCCGATGCTGTAAGTACTCGGCAACACCAGGCAGGGAACATGGTTTTAAATGAACTAAATACAAACGGTTGCTCTGCTCTGTAAAGTTATATGCTGGGTGGAAATCCCGGGCAGCATTTTTCTGATATGAAAAGTTTACTGTGGCAGCTCCCCAGTCCACCTCATCCAGAACTACCTGGAGTTACAGGAGAGCCCAGCGCTCTGCAGTCCTCTGGAAGGGGGTCGGGTGGGACAGCCACCTAAGACTAGGCCTGGATTACTGTGTTGCCAAGCACAGCAGGTCATCAGGAGACCACCCTTCTGCATCTGGGCAGATGCCTCCCAGGACTGTGATGAGAGCAAGGTGGCTGCATTCTCTTGACCCCACAGGCCTGAGGCTGTTTTCAGGATCGGGCCTCCTGGGCTGTGCACAGGGCAAGGCCCACTCGCCAACAGGGAAGGCAGCGTGCCGCTCAGAAGGGCTTTTGGAGGAGTTGACGTACCTGAGGAAAGGAAGCTTGGCAGTCCCGTTTGTGTTATTCTGTGGGAAGATAGAGAAGTTTATGGAAGGCTCATGAAATGAGACATTTTAAACAAGACCTGAAGGTAAAGGCATCTAAAACACAAGTGACTGTTGAAAGCTACGAATATTTAAAGGTGCCCTGGAGTCTCAATTCATTTGGGACTGTCTAGCTATGTAAATTCACTTCAAAGAATAACAGGAAGAACAGAACATTTTAAAAGACTGAGGGACCTGCACCGTGTTGGGCCATCTCACACTCAGGGAGAATAGGCCTGCGGCTCCTTGCCCACAGCCTGTTTCAGGTGCAAAACTTGTGAGTGCAGGTGGCTTTTGGGGAGCCCAGTCCTGAATGAAGCCACGGGAAAACTGCGTGAAAATGAAACGGGTTTTGGTGCCCACAGACTGGTGCCCAGTGCTCCCCAGAGATCTTGCAGGAAGTTGCACAAAGGGAAGAGGAGAGAAGGACGTGTAAACACTGTCTTTGTCTTCAGGAACCACCAGAGCCTGCAGGTCCCAGGGACTTGGGGTCTCCCAGTGGGGCCAGGGGCCTCCTTTCCTTCCTTCCCTAAAGCTTACAGGCTAAGAATCCGCTTTGAACCTGCTCCGCCTGTTCTAGGAAAGCACTGCTCTGAGCGCCTGTTACTCAGATGCCGCCCAGGAGAGGGCAGTGTGCCACTGTCTGACGGGCTGGCAGACCAGACCTGACTGAAAGCTCCCAGGCTCCCCGTGGTCAGGGCACAGGCCTCTGAACACTGACTACAGCTCCTCGCAGGTCACGTCCGGCTGCCCGCCAGCTGGGGTTTGAAGGTCGTGCCTTGCCCAAGCCCACACCAGGGCTCCTTGGGAGGCCTCTACTGGGTTTTGGACCTACTGACTCAAGGCAGAGGGTTAGGGACACTGGGGTTCAGACCTGCACCTGCTGTCTCTGGGCCTCTGAGGACCCACATCTTGACCTTGAACCTTGGGACCAGCCAGCTCATCCTGATGGCGGCCCCAGCACCAGGAGGCAGAGTCCTGGCTTTCTTCTCACTGAAGCACATCCTAGCAGGGCTTACATGGGCTCTTCCCACAGGGCACGCAGGCCCCAGAGCAAGCACTCCTGGTGCTGCACTCACATTCTGTGACTTAGAGATAAAAATACACCAGGACGCGTGTTGCGCGAGTGCTCCAACACTGCCAAACAGGAAGCCCAGAACAGAGGTACAGGGTCCCACGTGAAAAGGTCCCTGGGGTCAGGAGGAAGGGCAGCCGAGTCCTCTTGGCCTGGGAAGTGCACTTCCTGCTTAACCAGAATCCCCAGGCTCGGCCTCCAGGTGACACACTGGAAACCACAGCCTCCTGCCTTTCCTCAGCGTGGGACAGTGTCGCTCTCCCTTGGGTATCACGTCTGAGGAGGGTTCTGCCCTGAACCGGAAACACCCCACCTGGGAGCAGCCCAAGGGTCCTCAAGGCAAACCCTCAGGGCTTGTTCAGAGGGCCTCCGCCCCCGGGAGCTTCGGACGAGTTCAGCGCCTTGTGTCACCTGGTGCCACAACATCGGAGAGAAACAAAAGTGGAAGAGAAGTAGCACAGTCCATCCTGGGAAGAAAGGTGACAGCTTGTGCTAAGGAGGAGGGCACGATGACCTAAGACAACAGCTGAAAACCATCGAGCGCCGGGTCATGGTCTGGTTCTGGTGCTGCCTACACCTGCTGCTTTGTGAAAAGTCACTGTGCACTTTTCTTCATATGGTATTCCTCAATGTCGGCCATAAAAATAGGACCGTTTCAAAGGTTTCCCCTTTAACATCTACCAAGTCTACACTGTCCCAGACCTGCCCCTCCCCCTTCACCCTGCAGTGGAAAGGCACCTCCAGGCCGGCCATGGCACTGCCCTCACTCCTCCAGTGAGGAGAGCTCGTGCTAGATCCCGAGGGTCTGCAGAACCTCCCCACCTCACCTGAGCACAACCCATCCCTCTTACTGGTTGACGCTGGAGCCCCAGAGGGATGTCTGTCCTGCCTGCTGCCCCAAAGCGCCCATCTGAGCGTGTCCCTCCACTGGCTCGCTGAGGCCGAGCAGTGGGGTTTGGGGTCTCCTGGCCTCTGCACCCCCCGCCCCGCCCCCGTGTCACCAGGCAAATGCGCCTTGTCCTGAGCAACACCGAGGTCTCTGCAGGCCTCTCCTGGTGCCCCTGCCCTGGACCTGAGCGGTCCTGCATGGTGCCTGCAAGCCTAGGTGCTGCCTCCTTGTCCTGTCCCCTCAGGACATGCACAGTGCAGACACGCGCGTGAGCTCAGACCAGCTCTGTGGACCTAAACCGTTCGAGGTCCCACAGTCAATGGGCAGAACTGCTCCTGTGCAGGGCGTGTCCTCTGAGGTGGTGGTGTGCGTCCTGTCTCATGCTTCCCCTCGGACTTCCAAAGCA